CGGCAGGCAAAATGTAGGCAAAGATTTCACTAGCTTTTACGCAAGTTTTCAAAAATAATGTATTTCTACCAGTAGAATTATCTATCTGTTTAACTGTTGTACTGTAAGAATTTAACTGTTGTACTGCAGAGATTACATCTACCTCAACATGGTTGATATAACTGAAGGGGCCATAAGATATGTTGTTTGCTGCCCAGGAATAGTGGCATTCCCGCGTTATGCTTTTTGCGAGCTTTATACGGCAATGGGGAGTGCTGGGTACATTCCTCATGTGACAGAGACCGGCAGTCTGTGTGGAGAAGAACAAGAATGTCTCGTTCCCTTCTAGGAGCTCTGGGATAAATTCTCCAGGGTCAAAGACAGTGGCAGAAATCAGAAACCCCAAAGGAGATAATAAAGTGACTTTTGTGGAGATAAGCAGCAATGTAATCACAGACAACATTTTTCAAAAAGAAAGCAAGCATGTATTTTTTTGTGTTATTCATAGTGTACGTGTAATTATATGCCAATACTACAATAGACCTAATGCATGCTAATGGAGCAGTCAGGAAAGACATGGCACTCTGTCAAAGGAGGACAGAGTTTGATATTGAAAATCCATTTTAAATATTGCATTTAGTATTCAGGCCATCCTCAGGAAAAGATTTAGCAGAAAGAGCATCCCAAAGTGGCAATGAAACTGATTAGAAGTGTGAGAAGATTTCCGTTTAAAGGAGGAAAAAAGATTAAGCCTTTTTGACTAGTGGTGAGATAAGTAAAGGGAGATGGGAGGGAATCAGAAATTAAAAGCCCATTCCAGCTAACAGTGGAGTCATTGGGAAGCCTTTCATTAATGTCAGTAAAGGTTGGAATATGTCCTCTGTCAGCTAATCCTGGTTGTTCTTTCACGGTGTAACTAAAGAGAAGATATTAAGTGAAATGTACAATGAAATGATATTTTCCATCTGAAGTCCAGTGTATTTGCTGCACTCCCTGCTGCTGGACATCATTGGCACGGGAACCTACAGGAAAACAAGGGTGATATTCACACTTTTCCCATGCACCACAGAAGATACAAGCATGGCTCCTGAATCTTGCAGAGCCAGGAGGAGAAGGTGGTGCTCAGAGGTGGCTAACGCTCAGAAGATGAGGCTAGCCCTCAATGCCATTACAGGATAACATGGGACAGAGATGAAAAACATCTTCCCAGCATCCCCTCTTTCCAGAACCAGGGATTTTCCCAAGTCAACAGCTCCTCTGCTGCCACAAAGTATGTCCAGGCTCTTTTGGAGGTGCTCTGAAGTCGGTTGGCTGGTTACCTTCTGGAAAACACGCAGAAGATTTATCATTCCTCATGTTCAGCCAGTTAGCAGCTTGAGTTCAACAAGAGACATCTTCAGTATGTATGTAAGATATCCTGTTAATTGTTTTGAAGTGATTTCTCTAGAGGTAGTCTAGAGGTAAAGAAGTTTAAATGCTTGTCCTAAGCATGTGCCTTTTTCTCTATTAAGTTTCCTCTAGTGCTCTACGTGTGATAATTACTGTTTCTAAACTGCTAATTAAGCTTCTGGAGACAGAGATGCCTGATTGTAGTGAGTTTCAAAACACTAGTGCACTGGGAGCAGAATTTTCTCCTTGAACTGTGCCTGAAGATTAGCACTTCAGGGCTTGTACACTTAACATAATTTTATCAATCCTGCATGCTTTTCAACACCATCTTTCAAAAAACGTTTCTGATAAGATTTAATTTTGCCTTCATATGGTGCTGATATGGAGTTTTCTAAGGAGTATTGCTGTGGCTAGGACCTTAGTTCTAATCTTTTGTTGTTCTTTGCTATGAAGTAGTCTTCCTTTAAAATCTCTTTCTCAGAACAAGAAATGGCTTTTGGTCCCAGAAGACCCTCACCTCACCCCAACACAACCAGACAATACCGCCCTGACATCGTTCTCCCTCTTTTCAGCCTCCTACAAACGCCCTCCATGATGCTGGGAGCACTGGAAAGATGACAGAGATACTTCTCTTTGTCAGATGGAGCTTTCAATCGTTTGTCCAAAGTACAGTACTTGAGAAGTAATAATTAGGGCTGGGGAGCGTTAGAGAAGTTCAAAGGACTTGTCCCCTGCTGACAGAAGGAATAACAGTTAAAGAAGGTCCGTAAGGTTGTTATGTGCAAATCAGTACCGAAGTCAACCACGCTATGCTGGTTTACAACTACTGGAAATTTTTACCCAACATTTTTTGGAAATGCTGAAATGTGACTTGCCAAGAGACCTATGAAGTGGAGAGGACTGCAAGGGAAGGAATCAACAACAAAAATGGAAGAAGAGAAAATAAATACCAACTAAAGACTTCTCTAATACAGGCTGGCATGGTGATTGAAGATGATTAATTAAAATTAAAAACCTAGAGATGTCAGAGTTTCTGGGAGTTACCTACCAGATCCAAGTCTCCTTTACCTGATAAATTCTCTTCCTTTACTACGAATGCTATCTATTGGCAAAACCATATTATGTTTTCAGGGATTTGTTCAAGGACAAACTGTGGCCTGTGACCGGATGAAGACACAGGGAGCACATGCAATTCCTCTGAAATCAAGTTACCTACCTGGTCCAAGTTTTACTCTCAGCAGCTAATATATAACTGAAATTTCCTTTCACACATTTAATTCAGGCTGTTGCATAAACTAAAGGATACACACTGCAGGGTAGTTGAAATCATAGAATCATAGAATGGTTTAGGTTGGAAGGGCCCTTAAAGATCCCCTTGTTCCCCCCCCCTGCCCCGGGCAGGGACCCCTCCCACTAGACCAAGTTGCTCAAAGCCCCCTCCACCCAGGCCATGAACAGCTCCAGGGATGGAGCTTCCACAACTTCTCTGGGCAACCTGTTCCAGTGTCTCACCACCCTCACAGTAAAGAATTTCTTCATAATATCTCATCTAAATCTACCCTCTTTCAGTTTAAACCTGTTACTCCTCATCCTATCACTACACTCCCTGATAAAGAGTCCCTCCCCATCTTGCCTGTAGGCCCCCTTTAGGTACTGGAAGGCTGCTATAAGGTCCCCCCAGAGCCTTCTCTTCTCCAGGCTGAACAACCTCAACTCTCTCAGCCTGTCTTCATAGTAGAGGTGCTCCAGTCCTCTGATCATCTTCGTGGCCCTCTTCTGGATCCTCGCCAATGGATCTATGTCCTTCCTGTGCTGAGGACTCCAGAGGTGGATGCAGTACTCCAGGTGGGGTCTCACCAGAGCAGAGTAGAGGGGCAGGATCACCTCCCTTGACCTGCTGGCCACACTTCTTTTGGCCTCACTTCTTTTGACACAGCCCGGGATACAGTTGGCTTTCTGGGCTGCGATCTCACATTGCTGGCTCATGTTGAGCTTCTCATCCACCAACATGCCCAAGTCCTTCTCCTCAGGGCTGCTTTCAGTCCATTCTCTGTCCAGCCTGTACTTGTGCTTGGGACTGCCCTGACCCACGTGCAGGACCTTGCACTTCGCCTTGTTGAACTTCATGAGGTTGGCATGGACAACATGAAAAGTTCTTTTTCTTTGTTGATGGTCAGGGTCTGGCATACGTTTAAAAAACCACTCAGCTGTGTGTTGATAAACAAAACAACTGGCTTTCAAGTGATTTGGCTTGGTGGTTTGGGGTTTCGTTGTTAGTGTAGAATAGCAAATGCCTTAAAAAAAATTTCATTATACTTTTCTGTGTCAGCCCTCCCCTCTGAGCTGCCAGCTGCAGGAAGCCCTTTATGAGCAGAAACACCTGCGGATGATTCTCATTTTTGTGTGCATACTTCAGCCTTTCAAATGGCATTCCTCAACTCACGCAAAGTCAGGGCTAACCCTTTTGTTTCGCGAGGCCGCAGGGTGAATATTTTGGCCTGCGGGCCCTGCCTGTGGGAATTCTCGCACGGAGTTAATCACAGCAACATTCAAACCGTCGTCAGAAACGCCTCTTGAAAAACACTTCAGAATATGGTTCCGGCCTGGACACGGAATATCTCTCAAGCCCGGAGAATGCGGACCAGAACACATGGGCTTTGGCGCTGGGATGGCTCCGGCAGACAGCGGCGGGC